AGCAGCGAGAGATTCACAGTATTAATAAAGGGATTCAATGCCTCGTTATTAAAAAAAAAAAAAAAAAGGATAAAAAAACGGAGGCGAGGAAAGGAGGCAGGAAACTTCTGTGTGTTATTTACATTGGGAAAAGGGGGGAAGGAAGGGTGTTTGTGTCTCTGCCTGTCAATGAATGAGAAAGAGGAAGGGAGGGAAGGAGGGAAAGAGAGGGAGGGAGAGAAACACACACAGAGAGCACTGAAAGGAGGCTCTGTCCCCTAAACTCAAGTAACCCATTTGCAAGAATTAGATGTTGGAAAAATGGTAAGGACCCGGAGTTGAAAACATTTTCACTTTAATACTGAAAAAATATGCCATTATAAAATCCTCGAATAGAATTAGTAAGTTTCACTTGCTTCCTCAGTTCTGTTTTCCTCAAGTTATAGTAAGATTTACAACAGCACAGAATTTTCTACCATTAAACTTTGCAGCCTAAGCACTAGAGTGACATTAATTGGTCATGCTTAACTGCCTTGGACTTCTTTTTGTATGTTTACACTGTTACCATAATAGAAATCAAGGGTACTAATTTTTACATTCAGATGGAAAGGCAATACTAAATATGTATATCGAAAAAGAAGAGAGAGGAAACAAAATCAAAGCCTCCCCTCCCCGCCCCTGCCCCCGAAAAACGAAACACAACCCACTATCAACAAAGTAAATCTCTCCCGCCAAAGTAATTCCCACCTAAAAAAAAAAAAAAAATCTAATGAGAATACTCATGCAACTATGTCTTAAATAAAACCTTTACATTTTTTTTCCCACGGTAAAAGCACAAACTCTACTCTCTATTGATCACACAAAAAAAAAAATAACTGGCGAAATGGCACTTTTTATTATTATACTGTATTTCGTATATAGAAGGTTTGATACGAAGGGACTTATCAGGTAAGAGGGATGATGGCGTGAACTAGACGCTGTTTCCAGTTGGGGGCTGGAGCGTCCCTGGGGTGCGTTGTATCCATGCGAGCCATGCAGCACTTTTTTTTTTTTGTCCATTTGTCTATTTGTTTCAGAGTCGGAGTCATTTATTTACATTACATTCATGCCTTCGTGCAACTTTCCACTCCTGCTTTGCCGTCAGGAGGAGGCCGACACCATCCTGTCCTCCGCCCCCTCTTTTTCCCGGCCTCTCGAAAAGGGGTCGGTCCACAAAGGAAGAGGGCAAAAAAGCAAAACAAACCCCAATGGAACAAAAGCTCTACAAAACCAAGAACCGTGTTTCGCCCTGCCGGAGCCTAAGGAAGCGATTCCTCACCCGTCTGTCGCTGTCCCGGCCGCGCACGGGTGGGGGATGCGCCCACCGTGCCGGGTTGCGCGGCGCTGCAGGGATGCGCCCCGGTGCCGAGCTCCCCCCGCCGCCCACTGGGCCTCGGCCCTTGTTATGGGGGTTGTGAGGAAGGGCGTGAGTGTGTCTGTGTGTTTCGTTTCTCACAAAAGGTAGCAGCGGAGGTGCAGAGCCGTCCCCGGCCGGAGGTGAAAGGTCGGTCCCGGATGGTGACCGCCCCCGCCCCCCCCGCCGCCTCAGTCCGACAGGGAGTGGGAGCCGCAGTCGTACACCCTGTGGGCCCCGTCGGCGCTGTAGGGCCCGTTGTGCCAGTAGGACGAGTCGCAGACCGTCTGCAAGGAGTTGATTTCGGATGCAGAGGAGTTGGCATCCCTCCTCTTGGACCGTTTTCTGTTCCTCAGGATGAACACCAGCATGCCAACCACCGTGAAGGCAGAGGTCACAAAAACCAGCAGGAGCCCTGGCACTAGCACCGAAATAGAGACCCGGCTGGTCTCCAAGTAGGAGTTGGAGTGAGTACCTGTCTCTGTCAGCCCGGTGCTGTTTTTGTTTGTAGAAGTTAATGTGGGTAAGATTTTTAACTGAGGGCAAATCACATCATTGGAGAGAGACTCAAAATCCTCCTTGAAGAAATCTTCAGGGGACTCGCACCTCAGGTCGCTCATAATCACCTTGGGGCGCAGCATCTCCGCCCACTGTTTGAAAGGCACAATAGGGCAAGTACAGTCCCATGGGTTACCGTGTAGGTCAATCTGGGTGATGGAGGTGAGCTGGTCCAGCACCCCTGCAACTGGGAGGTACATGAAATAATTGTTGTGTATGCTCAGCTTGGAAAGCGAGACCCCGGCAAACACGTCTACTGGGAGAGACCTCAGTAGGTTGTTGTTGAGGATGAGGACTCTCAGTTTGGGCATTGCATTGAAGGTGCCAGGCATAATCATCTGGATCCCATTAAACTCCACGTTCAGATACTCCAGGTTTTGCAGCCCGGCAAATTTCTCCCGGGACAGTGTGTCTAAGTAGTTGCTATCCATGTAGAGCCATCGGAGATCAAAGAGGTTCTTGAAGGTGTTGTTCTCCACGGTGGCAATGTTGTTGTTGCCCAGATCAAGTAAATTAAGTTTTCGGTAATCCAGAAAGTGAGATTTCCTTATGGTGTGTATTTTGTTGTCTCTCAGAAATAGCTCCTGCACATTGGATGGTTTGGGCTTCAAATCCACCAAGCTGCTCACATTCCTGTCATTGCAATTAACCTTTAAACCCGAGCCAGGGATCTGATCACAGCTGCAGATGTGTGGGCAGGACACGGTAGCTGGTAGCTTGCTCTTCACACTCACTGTCGACACAGCAGCAGTGGGTCTGGTCTTGATTTGCCAGTTGACAGGAATCTTTGTACCTCCATTTGGAGCAGATCCTGGCGTGGCAGGGTCTTCTTTGCCATGTATTTTAAAGGGGGTTGGAATGGGACCAGGATCACAGGTTTCTTCTTCAGCAGGGGGAGCAGCTAGGCTAGAATCTACTCTGTTCTTTTTGCACAGCTCTTGCTCTGTGGTCTCATTTAAATCTTTGCCCTGCAACCTAGTGGGAGCCTCACAAATCACTCTGCCGATCAAAGCGTTTTTAGGTATGTTTTCCAGCCATTCTTTCAACGACAGAAGATCGCAAGTGCAGTCCCAGGGGTTATCCTCTAGCAGGATTTCAGCAATGCCTGGGATCTGCTCCAGGACCTCCTCGTAAGGCAAGGTTTTAAGACGGTTTCCCCGCAGGTCGAGGTGGGTGATCGGCACGTACTGAAACACGTTCGGGGGCAAGGTGCTGATGAGATTGTCATTTAAAATCAGCACCTCTAGCTTGTTTAAGTCCCTAAATGCTCCCGGGTCAATATCCCGCAATAGATTAAAATCTGCCTGGAGGTATTCCAGATCGTCCAGCCCCAGGAAAGTCTGCTTCCTGAACGATTTGATCTTATTGTTGTTTATGTGCAAGCGTTTCACCAGCTGCAGCCCAAGAAAAGCCCCGGGAACAATCTCATGCAAACCGTTGTTTTCCATGTGCAAACTGACCGCATTGTAAAAGTTAGCAAACTCATTAGGGAAAAGTCGAGTCAGGGAATTGCCATGCAGGAATAAATGGTAAAACTGGGAAGTTGGGGCGCTGAAATGTTGCAGGCTGGTAAATCCCTTTTTCTCACAGTCTACGTGCAAATCCCCTTCTATCTCGTTGCAGGCACAGATCTTCTCTTTGCAAACGTCCCCTGTAACGTTTCCAGCAGCAAAACAAAGAGACGTCTCCAGCAACAGAATCCAAAGCAGCATTTTTAAACCGAGCAATTCATTCCCGATCTCATCACAAAGTAACAGCAACCATCCTCCTCACACGGAAAGCAATTCCAGTTCATTCAATACATTAAATGTCCGAACCACCACCAAAAGGGGAGAAAAAAAAATGGGGGGGGGGGGAGAGCAGGGAGGGTCGGTGGAGGGGGGGGATGCTTTCTTTTCTCCTCTCTCCCCCCCCACGTACAACTGCAACAGCCCAGATTCCAGTCAGTAATTATATCCACAAACTATCCAGGCACGTACTGCAAGGCAGGCAAAAAAAAAAAAAAAAAAAAAAAAAAAAAAAAGTAGAAGGAAAAAAAATTCCCCTCCGCGCTCGCCCTCCCTGACGCCTCCCGGGCAGCTAAGTGGAGGTCTGCTGGCCAGGCTGGCTCACCGGCACGGTGCTGCTGGCCCCTGGCCGCCGCTGCATGTTAGAGAGGTGCGGGCGGGAGCGCGGCGGTGGCCGCGGAGGCTGCGCCGTGCGCGGCTCCGCGCGGACTGACCTTGCCGGGCGGCCGCGGAGCCGCGCTCCTCGCCCGCCGCCCGCCGGGCGCTGTCCAGCGCCGCGGTGCTGAAAGCACCCTCCCCAGCCTAAGCGCTGCTTGCCCCAGCCCAGCGCTGCCCGCCCCAGCCCAGGAGCTGCTCGCCCCAGCCTAGGCGCTGCCCGCCCCAGCCTAGGCGCTGTGCGGCGCCTGCCCCCGCTGCTGCGGTGCGCGGCTGCCCATGCCCGCCGGCGGCCGGGGCCCGCCGAGGGGCCGGGGCCGGGGCCGCCCGCCTGCCCGCGCCGCGCCTCGCCTCGCCCTGCCGGCCGCGCTGCCTCCCCTGCTCGCTCACTCCCTCGCTCGCTCTTCTTTCCTTTTTCTTCCGCTGCTGCCGAGCCGCACGCTCGCACACACTCACATGCACGCAGAGGGAGAGTTGCTAAGAGGCTCTGCTCGTTTCAACCTGGTGCACACTGAAAGATCTGACACCCTCTGCTGAGCTGCAGTGGCAAAAATCCATCTGCTGAGGGAATGCTGGAGAGGAAAAAAAAATCAATCCACGTACAGGGCAAGCGTTAAAAACGTTGGCATTAAAAACTGTCAATGTATTTAGATGCTTTCTCGTAAATGGATTATTTAATTTATTTCTTTTCTTTTAAGATGGAAAGTTTAGCATTCCCCTCCTCCCGACAGGTTCCTTATGTCCCCCATTCGCACACACTCACACCTGCAAAAGCAGGAGAGGAAGGCGCGTTTGCCTTATTGTATTTCCCAACGGCTTGAACAGAATTAGTGTCAGGGTGTCAAGCGAATAGCAATTTGAGGTAATTATTCTGCACGCCATTTTCATCGTTGCTTTAAATGCGTTTCGTCCTCCCCTGCAGTCTAGGATGTTTCATGCTGGATTTTGCCTCTTGCTGGTGTTCTCTATGCAACGTCGAAGCGTGGATTAAGGCATTCTCCCTCTCTATTTTTCATAATTTAGACGATCACAGAGAAGAGGGTAAGTACGGGGGAGGGGATTGCTGCACTGCTAGCAGTTCACACTACCTGTTCCCACAGAGTATAGTGTCTCCCTTAAAGAGGGGAGGAGAGGGTAGAAACTGACAGTTATTCTTATCTCGGTATAAAAATACAGAGATGCACGTATGTCCACGCATAGATATTTTTCTAGGGATGCTCCTATTATACACTCTGTGGAAATCAAATGCCTGCTTCCCTCTACCCCCTCCTACTTCTCACCCCGGCCTCCTCCCTCTCCACCGCCCCCCTCTCCCCCCGCCGCCCTTTCCAGCTCCTACCCTTCTGACAAAAGAGATTACACAGCGGAAAAATCGGTGCCTGGCCTTAAAGACAGGAGCCAAGCACACAAAAGTTTCTGCATCATTTGGACAGGTTTCAGATGCCTACGAGCGAAGAACCAGTTGCACCTCTGGTGGTGCAAGTGGAAACCCGCCTTTCCCCTTTCCTTGTCAAACAGCGCTGAAGAGAAGGAGGAGGGAGAGGAGAGAGAGGAGGGGGAGAAGGAGGAGGAGGAGGAGGAGGAGGAGGAGGAGGAGGAGGAGGAGGAGGAGGAGGAGGAGGCACGGAGGCGGGAGAGGCAGCCCAGCCTCTTGGTGCCTCCTGCAGCCTGGGACCGTACCTCTCCCGTCCGGCCCTGTTGGTGAACTTTGCGGTATACTGGTAGGGGGGGATGTAACAGTGGGAGTGGGTTGGAGGAGGGTTATTTATAGGAAAATCCAGAAAGCCATATGGAGCCTGCACCCCCTGGTCCCAGCGGCATGTTAATTTGGTCAAAGCTTTTCCCTGGCTACCGCTTGCAAATAAATTAGACATCCTGCCGACGATGATCTTATCAAATTAATGTAATTAGACCGCAGACAAGTTACAACAGTTACTGTGGCCATTTCGTGTCCCCAGGATGAAGATTTGGCCTTTTGGTTTGTTACGGTAGGCAGAGACTAGGGAGGGAGGGGGAAACGGGGAAGGAAATAGGACAGGAGTAGGAAACAAAACAGACAAAAAGAGAGAAATCCTGACCCTGAAAATGACTGCCCAATAAATTACAAACGGACCAGAAGAGATAAAATGCCACTGAGACAGAAAGCACCACAAGAAATATATCGGTGGTTTCATTAGGAAAAAAAAAAGGGAAGGAAACTTGGTGCCACACTGAGGCACATTAATTCATTTCTCCTGATAGTTTCTTTGACTTTGTCTCTTGGTGATGGGGCAAGGCTGTCTGGACCCCTTCCGTGGATCCAAAATTGTGACCTCAAAGTGCAAGAGGAACCAGGGCCAAGGAAGCCCCAGGAAACTCCTCGGAGGGAGATAGAACAGTTGGGAAAAGGATCGAGGGTTAGGGTGGGGGTCAAGGACGCACCCACCGGGTGTCAGCAGCAGCGACAAGATCACTGTGAATAAAGTCTTTCGGGAGGAAAGGCTGAAAATCTGGAGCCTGGTAAAGACTCCGTGGGGACGTGGAACATGAGGACTAAAGAGTTTGTTCTCCTCCTGCCTTACAATAAAGCTTCCAAGCATCTTTACCTTCATGTTATTAAAATTGCTCAGGCACCATGAAAACAATCAAAATGCAACCAGAGGACCTGAACATTAACAAGATATTAAATAAATAAGTATGAATTGAATAAGAGGAAGGAGACAGTGACCTGTTGTCAAAGCATGAAGGACAAATTGCCTGCTTCTTACAAGGGATCTTCTGAGAGGTAGGAACTGATGGAAGCCCTTTGGGAACCTAGAATTTCAAAGTAGAAAAAACCCAAAAGGTAAAAAATCTGCCAGAAGAAGTAAGAGTGCTTACAAATGCTATGTAACTTCTGAAGGAGTATTTATCTAGGGAAGCCATTTTGTTTTCAGCTGTATACTTTGGAACTATATAGAGAGATATATACAATATATGTGTTGAGAGAGCATCTGCCATGCAAAAGTTAGCATCTAGAAGACAAGTCAGAGAGGTGGAAAAGAGGTACCATCCATTTTAGATTTGTTATCTGAAGTTTTGGTTCTATGAGTCAAGCTACACAGAAAGGTCCAGGAAACTAAGCTAATATTACTGAATACCATAATCCTAAATTTCTAGTTTTCCTCATCTCCTTGAATTAACTTTGGAAACATGTGTCTTAAGATAAGAGACCTGCCTCTAAGTGTTTTAAGGAAATACTTACTCCTGGATCAGGTTGATTGGGAGATGAAACGTTTTACTGTGTTACTTAGAGAGTGTGGTAAAGTGAGACGTCATACAGCATTAAAATGCCAATAAATCTAGGTGTTTAAAATTCAGAATATGTATCCCAGTTTACAATCCATACACAGGTTGAATAAACAGAACTCACATAATTCCCTCTAAATAATAATTTCTAAATTATCCAGAAGATAAGACTGGGAAAGAACTCACAAGTATATTGTCCTTGACTCCTTTACTTTTCTGGTGTCTTTTACCTCGTGTTTGTGTCTGCAAATTCTAGAAACCTAAGACAATGAGCTTCCTACTTATACCTTTCCTCTGTGTGTTAAGTCCCATATTTAACCACATGTGAGCCAAATGAAGCTATTTTGAATAGAAATATTTTTACTCATAATATGGAAAATTCCTTGAAATAAGAAAAGGAAAATGGATAGTCCTCCATTTTCCCAATTAGTGATCTCCCATCTTCTTATTGCTATGACTATGTAAGTAACACTGGGTAAGGATGTATTTGTGCTACACTGGAAAATATTAAAAAACTTGTTACCTCATCTAACATTATAGAACTTGCAGAGCAGAATTCAGACCATCTGTAAAGTTTCTAGAGAAGAAAAAATTATTACTGTATATATCCTGATTTCAATGGTTGTGCTATGTACTGTAAAATTGGCTTAATTATTTCTGTGGAGGTATAATACAAAAAAGACATTGTACACTTTGGACATGATGTGTGTGGATGCAGACACACACATATGTACATATGTATATATGTACATATGTACATATGTATGTAAACATGTGTGTATGCACTACAAATTGTGGTAGACTCTGCAAATAGAAGAGTTATGGGATCATTATTTAGTTTGAAATTATGGCTTTGTTCGGGCCTTGACTATAGAATTTAACATAGACTGGTAGTTAATATAGATGTGTCTATACCTTAATGCAACTCCTACCAGAACTACGCTTCCCAGTGTATACAATGACTTTAAATCAGCTCAGATTATCCAGTTTTAACTAGGGATAGAAGGGGTTAAGCTAGTATGAGGATCTCCTCACAGGATTTTCTATATCAGTATATTTTATAGGCCAGTCTTCACTAAGCTACTGGGCTTCTGTCTAAACAGCAGTTAGACTTAACAAGGTTTCCAAAACTAGATAATTTTCTTCTTCATTTTTCATTTTGCTAAGAGTAATGGCATGTGAGCATGTTCCAAGTCTTCCTGCGACATATTCACCAGACGGAGCTTTGCAAAATGATACAGTGTTGGATGATGATGATTAAAAAAAAAAAGAAAGAAAAAAAGAAAAGAAAATTAGGGAGGTGGTTTGCCTACTTCTTTCTAGTGAGTAGGAGACTAGCTCAGGATGAGAAAATAAAAAATTCTCTATCTTTTGCAGTGTAAGAGCCAGCTCACATATTCCTCTTTCTTGGCTCATACCCTCAACCACCGGGCTACCAACCCTCTTGCTGCAGCTGTTCTACTTTGCAAGAAAAACAATTTTGACATCCCTTGAACTAGAGAAACACACTGGGGGAGCATGAGTTACAACACCCTCCAGGGCATGCAGAGCTCTGGAAGGACTTGCTTGCATTGTGCTTTTATATGAGACTAAGCTTGACCTAATAGACTTCACGCATAAAATGTTCAGACCTCAGAGCTCGTAGTAAAATCCACAGATAATCTTCTCCAGTATGCATAGTCATCAAACCTTGAGATAATTTTGTGCTAGAAACATTGGCCGAATAGGCCACAGAGTTAATCTTAAAATCTTCAAACGCTAAGGTGTCAGAAAAAGGAATAGGAGCCAGAAAGGTGGACAGCTTTTGCATCCATCTTGTGTGTAGTCTGCCATAAAACCCATGTAGTCATTTCATTTTGAAATTCTGATGATGCAGAAGCAAGAGGTGTATTTAGTGAGTAGGCCAGGTCAAGGTCCTGACCGGAATTTCTTATTTATATGATATATATTGATCTGAATTTCTGACCCAGTTTTGACTATGATTGCTTGCATTAAAATCACTAGAGCACCTGAGTAGTTTTTAGGACAGGACTGAGCCCCAAAACTACTGTCCTTACCAGAGAGAGTATGCAGAATAAGTGTTTGGAGAAGGACTGAATTCAGCCAGACATTTATGTTTTATCCTTATCTCTCTGTTCCATTCACTTTTTTATTTTCTTTTTCTCTTTATTTTCCTGCAGCCTATAGTACTCTGGAGCGGCCTGGTTTTTTTTTTTTTCAAATGTAAGGGGTACTCTAGAGACAGAATTAAGCCACTTCCAACTCAGTGAATTGATCCTGTGTCTTCACTGGGAATGAATATTCTGCCCACTGTGCTGTTGGTTAGAAGGGGAGAGATAAGGAGCTGAGCTGAGTCACCCACCTCCTTTTATTCCTCTCATCCCAAAACTCACTCTCACACATGCACACACACACAGACTCATATACACTTTAAAAGTTTGACACAACGGAAGTGGGCTGTCTGTTTTCATGAGAGAATTTCAAGTTGTGGAGTTCAGATATAGAGAGATGGTTTTGCTGCAGCCCTGACCCCAGAATGTGAACTGAGATTTCACTGCAGCATTTCACTTGAAATGTCCTCCCAACTACATCTTCCATGCTCTCAGTCTTGACATGAAGGCCCAATTTCTGCCTTTGCCAGAGCAATATGCGAGATGGTTGATTGCCTGACTTAGGGACCGTGATTTCACTCCAGGATTTGGCTTCCTAAGTTTGGCATTGCAGCATTCAGCACTGCAGCACTGAAGTACACACAATACTTTTTTTCTTTATGA